CATGAAATTTAAGAACAAAAAGTAATAAGCATACATTTTTCTTTGTACAAATAATTTTTGAAAAATTACTTAATTTCCTACAAAACATTAAAAAAAAAAATCATCGTAATTGGACCTATATTAAATGAGAAACAGGTTATTGTAATTCGTAAACATTTTCGTTTAAAACATGAGTCAAATTTTATACTAATTTTATTATTTTTTGGTCGATTAAAATTATTGAAGAAATAGTAAATGATTCCTACTACTTAGGATACGTTGAATTATTTAATTATCTTACTATTTTGCCATTTGTTCACTGACCAATTTTCACGTGTCAACTAGTAATATATATTAGATATTTTAATTTTGATGAGATTAGGTGCCCATGGCATCAACATTCAATATCGCTAGAATAAGGTTGTATTGGGTTTATGCGTTATCTCAAAAACAGTATATTTTAGGGCTTTAAAACTTCTCGAAATTCCGCTTTGAAATTATTTTTAAAAACAACTTAAGCCGTTTCGATCCTGTCGTTTTTTGAAAATATCTGTTTTGAAAATTCAGATGTTTATAAAAATAGATGATAGATAAAGCATGCGCATATTGTTGTCCAGAAACGTACTAATAAAATTATGATGAAAGAATGCAGGTTAATTGTAACGCTAAAGATGGTAAGCTAAACGCTAACCTTGATAAATTTAATATGGCTTCCATTAAAAATTGAGAGTATATTATATATTAATATTTCTATAAATTATAGTTAAATTAAAAACCAGAATAAAGGACTTGCAGAAGCCTTCAATGTTAAATCCTTCAGACTAAACAAAAATAATTGGAGTCGTTCGAAGAAGATTACGTCGTATGATCTGCATAACTGCCATTTCTATACAACGACTAGACAAATTTAATCAACAAGCAAAACAGGCTCTGCAGTGATAGCACATCTTTTCCGAATACTTCTGCTTGTCGTGTAGCCTTTGAAGCTAATAAGGCAAAGAAGATATGATGGATTTATGAATATGAATATTAGAAAATAAAAAGTGCAAATAAAATATAAAATATATTACTTTGAATATATAATATAAAGTCCAGTTTATAAATATTAATATTAATTTTCTCTCCAGTTTTATGGGTACGGTTCTTTATCTTGGCCAAACGTTCGACAGGAGAACGACGTGGGACACCCTTTTGAAAATAAACTGAAAACATTAAAAAAACGACTCAAACTGCTTTATCCTCATTCATCAAAATCTATTGCTCCTGAGAGTCGGAAGGAAAAAATGGTCTATATAGTACGGTTGTATTTTGCAGAGTAGACCACTTTCCCGACTCTCAGGAGCAATAGATTTTGATGAATGAGGTATAAGACAAAAGAGTATTTCATGGAGAAGTGACTGATCATAGTCAAATCCCCCAAAATTCCAGGAAAGAAAGTTATGAAGGAAAAGAAACTTTATTTGAGAATAACTCAAAAAGGATATTTTTTTCTTGATAGTACCTATGATCAAGTAAAAAAAGATTGCTATATTCCCTATAAAACAAAAAAATAATCGAAATCTATTATAAATTTTTACCTTATTGAATACCTGATGGTTGGCCGTTGTATATTATTGAGGAAAGAGATTGTTCAGGGTGGTGGTCATAAAAAGCCTAAACTAGCAAAAATAAAAAATAAAGCTATTTTATTTCAGCCTAAAATTCTGGCATATACCATGCGTATTATTTGCACCGGTCAACTATTTCCTATTATATGGAATATGTGAATGTTTTTTGTTTTACATATGAATTACCACACACACACATATATATATACTGTGGTTATCCTTGGCCTAAATATCAGTCAAGATATTCTTCCATCCTTCTCTATCTAAGGCTTGTTCTTCTCTCTTTCACCGCATCTTTATATTTTACTTTTGGTCTTTGAATACATACTTAATTAAATTATCAAGGACATACCCATCACAGACAGCAAACGGCTTTTCAGTCAAAAACTTTAAGGACCATAACTAAAGCTCTATGGTACGTCACAAACATTATTTTACATAAAGACCTTCAAATGTCAACAGTTAACGACCACATACAGACAAACTAAAAACGAGTTATAAATGACTTACATGGACATACTAACACACTTACACAAAGTGTGACTACATTTAACATGCCCGAAAACACACTTAGGAAGCTAAAAAGGAGTTGGATTTTCAAGCTTAAAATAAAATATTCTTCTAATTAGAATATATTTTAGTTTATACTTAAATCTGTGTTGATTTAAGTAAAAAAACTTTCGAGGATTTAACTATCGAAGAGTAGTAAACGGTTATTTTATTTTTTTGCGCATTTCGCTATCGTTTTCCAGAATTCCTGTAAAGATGTTGCTTCTACTATCAGGAGGGCGTTCGCTGTATAAGTAGGAAAACATTGGCATTGAGGCGTGTTTACTTTTTGTTTGATATTTCCTAAAAGAGGCATCTCCCAGGGCGAAGCTCTCTCCTTTGATGTGAGTCCTCCCTTCGTTTTCAGAAGGGAGCTGTATTTTTAGAGTTCGGGTCTGCTGTAACACAACTTAACTTCATACAAATGCAATATTATTCATAAACCGGGGATATTTTATGAAGTTTTCTGTATACAACTTTTTTTTTAAATTATATGATTTAAATTTAAATTTCTTAATATCTATGTGCGAATTCATATGTAAAACAAAAAACATTCACATATTCCATATAATAGGAAATAGTTGGCCGGTGCAAATAATTCGCATGGCATATTAGTCAGTGAACAATTGACAATATAATACAGAAATAAATTAATGCAATAGATAAATTATTTTTAATGATGTATAGATGGTCGACCGTGATATATGAGAAGTTGGTGAGGGGGGAGGGGAGGGAGAGGGGTCCGGTCAAATAAATACTAAATTTTAAAAAATAGTAATATTAATTAATACGCCGACGTTTCGACCAACCTTTCAGTTCTTCATCAGGGCTATAAAAGTTACATAGTGAAAATGAAATAAATGAATTATAAGTAGATATTAAAAATTAATTTAATATCAACTTATAATTCATTTATTTTTTTTTTACCATGTCCCTTTTACATATTGTATCTTTTATATTCCTGATGAAGACCTTAAAGGTGGGTCGAAACGTCGGCGTTATAATTAAAAATACTATTTTTTAAAATTTAGTATTTATTTAACCGCATCCTCCCTCCCTCCCCCGACCTACTCCTTCTAATAAAATATTTTTCTCTTTTTTTAGTTGGATCACATTAGTTCATTAATAATATTACAAAAAAAAATGTATACATTACTATAGGCTGTATGCTTACTTATAATGGTCCGATTTCGATTTCTTTTTATTTTGAAGGGAATTTAGTATCTTTTAAATAACCATGTGTCATTTCGTGTAGTTTATGTGATCCTAAATCCATGTAAGATTTTTTGGAGGCCTTTTAAAGTTATCACTTTTTTTTTTTTATTGTAAAAAAAAATCCTAGGGTGGAGGAGCCTGGTTGAAAACTTAAAGACAAAAACATTTTTTAATTTTTATGAAATTCGTATTTGAGATTATTCGAGATGCGAAATAGGAATCTCAACTCTTTTCCGCCTTAAATAATATTTGAATACTCCATTTCTCCTTCAGTCGGTACAAATCGTTTCAAAAGTACAAATTTCTGAGGAAGGAGATGGCTGAAGACTGAAATAGTAAAAATCTATTTTATTTCATGCCAGAATTTTAGGCTGAAATAAAATCTTTTTTTTTTTGCTAGTTTAGTCTTTTTATGACCGCCATACCGAACATTCTCCTTCCTCAATAATAAACAACGGTTAACCATCAAGTATTCAAAAAGGTACAAATTTATAATCGATTTCGATTTTTTCTGAAATTTCGGGAGATTTGAATATGATCAGTCACTTCTCTATGAAATATCCTTTTGTCTTATACCTCATTCATCAAACTCTATTGCTCCTGAGAGTCGGAAAAGTGGTCTACACTGCAAAATACCACAGTACTATACACAGATATATTATATAAAGATAGATAAAAAAAAATATAAAGTTATGAAGTATATCATGATACCAAATAATGAAAGAAGTCAATAATAATGAAGTATTGAGCAATAACTTTCCATTCCAAAAAGCTATTCTACTTTATTTTTAATTTATTCCAAAAGTGAAAAATTAAAGTAAAATGTAGCAAAATACAGCGAATGTAAAAATAAACAAAAATCCAGTTCCTTCAAAAATGTTTGCACTGTATCTCAGACTATGCTTGGACAGAAAACAAGCCAAACCCCCACATATGTACACACCAAAAAAAACAAGTACAAACCAGAAGATCCAAACAACTGTCACCTATATTGGGAAAAAATCTCCTTTAAAAATAAGCGACTAATCTATACCTCTATACTCAGACATATTTGGATAAACAGAGCAGATATTTGAGGTTCCGTGAAACACATCCACGTAAACAAAATTAAAACTGTACAATCCAAATACTTGAAAAAAAAGAATACATCTTGGTTTATATCAAATCACACGACACACAACGTACTTGTGCATACTAACAGTAAAATTCTACATATACACATACAAATACACCACATTTGACTCGACAAACCATCCAAATCCTGGACAAACACTCCTCCTGTCTATTCCTTCCTGTCTGTTACTCGATCAGTTTGAATCAAAACTAAAACGACAGTGGGCCTTAGATCTTCTGCTCACAATATAATTAATTATCAAGAACAATAAATAAAAATTAAAAAACACATTCGCTTGATGTGTTGCAACCCAGTGGCAATTATATTTTAAAATGAATAAATACTTTTCTAAATAACAAAGTTAAGATTAAAGTCAAAAGTCAAAAATTTTCTGGCCAGCACCAAGCTAATTCTGAACCCATAGGTGTTTTGTGAAACACTTAATTTTTGGTTATTTCGAGTCTGCAATAAGAGAATTTTGTTTATTCATGTTTTAATTTACGAACTAAAAAATAATAAAATACTGCAATAAACAATTATTCTATTTTAATTTCATATAAAAACTCACCTTTCGGAGGATTGATGTGGACACCAGAGCGATAAAGAGATTCTTCGTCTTGCCAATCAAAGTTCCTCAGGTATGTCCTGGCAGAGTAGCTAAGGATGAGTACGATGAGGGCGATGCGAGGCAAGGTGTACCTCGATATCCTACCATAACCGACCCCGAGGAGGAGGCAGTATCCCACGCTGGGCAGGTACAGCACTCGCTCCGCCACCACAAACCCGACATAAAAGAACAGGTTGGAGGCGGGGATGAATGGCAGGATCAGTATCGATATAGAGATCAGGATGGCTTCAGATTCTCGCCTTGACCTTGGTGCAATCTTGCAATTGCAGTGGGAAGTGGGGTAGTTATTGTTGTTGGAGATCTTGCAATATCTTGTATGGTAGCCGCAACCTTGGCCGCAACCGCGGCACTTCCTCGGCTTGATCTTCTTTGTCATTTCCTCGCTCTTTAGAGAGCGCAGACTCCTCGACATCCCGAGGTAGAAGAGACCGTAGAAGAGTACGGTGAATAAGTTCCTAGAGTCTAGGATAGATTCGATCCTTGGAATAGCATCCATGGACCAGTCGAAACTGAGCCACCTCGGGAAGAGCAAGAGGAGGCCGTTGAAGGCCGGGAGGTAGCTGAAGGTGAGTGTCCTGGCCAGGAAGGAGGAGTGCCTGGCCGTCGGGTTGTCGGAGGTAGCGAAGGTGGGCGAGGTGAGGCCCATGAGGTGCAGCCTGCAGGACACCAGCACCACCAGCCCCGCCCCCAGCCAGCACAGGCTCTTCACTGCGCCGCACCCCTGCAACAAGGAAATTCTTGTTAGTTCATTTATTTTAGTTTTTTAATTTCTTACTTACTTAGGATATGTTAAAAGGGTTTCATTTGTATAAATAAATCTGTATAAATACACCTTTTCATAACAGTAAAAAGTCATAAATACAATACAACGAGATGAGTTATAATGTAGATCTGCAATCTGAAAAAAAGTGAGACCCCGCTGCTTCATGGACTGTCAGAGCTTAGGTCATACCGTGGGATATCAAATACTTATAAGCTTGCAAAAATTATTTTGCATGTTTTCCATCATTTCGTTTCAGAGTAAAAATATTCAGTTTAAAATGTATTTTATTACATTTAATAAACAAAACAATCTTTGAGCTGGAGGAAGTTGAAAACGTCACCCTGAGGCGAAATGGTGATTGTAATTTAGGCATTATTTTTTTTTTCTAGTTTAACGTTCCGCTTCTATCCAAAATATTCATTGGCGAATGACATAATCATGAACTATGATTTAGATTTTGTTAGAGCACTTTATGATATTTATTAATTTAAATAAAGTAGAGAGTCGTCTTTCAGTAGATTTATCTTAATGGCGCTGACAGATATTTTTTTTCGTTCTTTGTTAAATTTGGAGGCATCCATTTTTATGCTGATAGTGTCCAATCGCAAGTCGGCACGGAATGAATTCTTCTCTCCTCCAGGCACTGGAGCCAGGGAGCCATTTACTACGATTTACTTTTACTTCTGTTATTTTAAACTATTTCCTTTCTCATTATTTCTCTCAATATGTTTGTTGCTTTTATTTGTTTGATGTATCCACTCATCTAAAATATCTTTCAATTTAATCATTTGGTTTTCTATGGCAGATTTAACACTCCATTAGTCCATTGCAATGACCCACCATTTATTAGGACATAACGGCATTAATATAGAACATATTTATATAGTTGAAACAATTCCATTAATATAGAACATATTTATATAGTTGAAACAATTCCATTAATATAGAATATATTTATATAGTTGAAACAATTCCAACAATTAATATTTACAAGATTTAATTGGACTTATTATAGTGCTTGGACAAAAGCACCTTGGTACGTGACTAACAAAAATCAACATACTGACTTCCACTCCCCAATTGTTGACCAACATATAACGTCCCTTTATCAACGATTTTACACAAATTTAAATGGACATAATAACAGACTTATAAGAGACATGGCTACAGCTGACATATCTCAGAACATGAGGAGGAGACTAAAAAGGCGTTGGATGAGGGATCTCCTTCCTTAGACAATCTAAGTAATTGGAACAAGTTAGGGAAGAGGTACTGTTGAGCACTTTCCTTCCCTATGCCTGTCATGTCATTATATTCATGTATCGCCATCACATCTGCTGATTGTCAACAATAAGTTGACAGGCGCAAATATATTTTTGATAGACAAAAAAAAAATGGAAATGATTCGCCTTGGTTTCATGATTTATTTATTCATTAGGTCCCTGAGTGAACTTCTTGGAGGAGTAGAGGGAGCGACAGGACACCCATCTCTGCGCGGCAGTTCCAAATTGAATAACACCCGAGCTGAAGAGGACAAGGTAATGGTGTTGAAGAGTGGTCGTTGGAGGATCTGATTTGTCTGCGGCGCCGCTCCTGGGCCAAGGTAAATAATTAGCAGCCTGTCCCATCCCGAGGTTGACCGTTCCATCACCTCCTCTTCTATCGCCTCCTATCTAATTTAGCTAAGTCAGGATTGGTCCGGCAGGCGCCAAAACCGAGTAACACTTTTCTAATAACACTACGTTTGGCAATTAGCATCGTCAGTTACTAATCTAATTAAATGGCAGTGATATTCAAAGGAACCAAACAATACCGATATTTCATCATAGTGGGTAAAAGTGATTTTAATAGAGACTTAAAATCAGCAATTCAGGTGCATACTTTTTGGCGGGTTTTAGTTCTTTTCGAATAATATGAATTAATTACAATCTTTGACTTAGTTAAGAGCTCGGCTCTTAATCCACTGAACCATACAGGTTACGTTTATGTTATATCCCGTTCGCAGGATTTAATAACAAAAAGAAAAGATAAAAAATAATTAATAATAAATTAAAATAAATCAGTGAAGTCTTTACGCGACCATACTTACTACTACTACCATACCAGTTTAGACAATTATGGCGCGGAATCGATTCTCACATGGTCTCACTCTGAGATTCACAGGAAGCGTGAGCGACCCCTGGGTCTAACAACATATCACCTTAGTCTTGGAAATTAGGGATTGGACTCTGGGCTAATAACCCTATAACGTAAAAAAAAAAAAAAATTAGAGGTGTCTGCAAAACGTTGCCAACCATTCTGCTGAAGATGGAGTGATTTGTAATCGCGTCCGATTATTATAAACCACGTGCTCTCTGGATATCTATATTAGAGAACCACACAATCAGTTACCTCATAGAACAGCCCCAAGACTAATGGTGAAGTCAAATAAGTCAAGAGACGTTAGAAAAAAAACTATCTTTAACTGTTTACATTTTGATTAAACTCCTGCTGTCCAGTGACGGCAAGAATGAAGAAGCGGCTATTTTTTTTCCATTTTGCTAACTCCCGACAACAGACTAGAGTTTGTCACAGTCCTAACACGAGATTGGAATATCATGAGATAAATATGACTAACATGTTGTGAATCGAATCCACAACATGACCTTTTTCGGATGAATTAAGATACATTAGTTTAAGTAATAGCTAAATATATTTATATATTTAAATTTTTCTATTCGGGTTAAAAGTTATGAAAATTTTACTATATAAAAAATTTTATTTTTATTTACAATAATGATACAGTAAAATTAATTTATTTTTATTTTTAATTTAAATAAAATAGTTAAAAAAGCTTTAAACTATTCTTTTATTTAATATGTAAAAATTCAAGTTCCATTACTTTTCTTGCAAAAAAGGCAAGTTTCGGAAAAAAAAATTATTATCACATCACTCTTTCTAATTTGAAAAAAAAGTAATTATACTATCAGATTCATTCGATGTTTTTACATTGAAAACAATACCTACCTCGATTATGAAAAAAATCGATTAAGGCATAAGCGACTCTTTTGTTCACTTAAAATTCCCTAAATTATAATTAAAAAATAACAGCAAAAAAAAAAATCAAGCAACAAACACTACGAAATAAAAATGGGTTTACCTATTGTCTTTATCACTAAACGAAAAAAGGTACATAATTCATGATTTTCTCAGAACATTGTATTTTTTTTCTTTTTAACTTAAACTGAGGCCATATTTTCCAGGCAGTGGGATGTACCAACTTTATCGCTATAAATAAAAAATAACTAGAGAGATACCATCAGTCTTGGGCAATGACAGCACACTCCGTCGAGTCAATTTCCTTAATTATAAACAAACACCAGGTTTGGGGCCGTTACGTAAACAGAAAACGGTGGAGCAAAAACTGAAAAACATCTTTCGTCGCCGTTCCTTGGAAATGGAAACTAAATTAATAGAAATCCTTTCGAGTAATTAATATCAGTTCTTAGAAAACGAGGGGATGGGGGTTTGACTTCAGTTTAAAAAAACATAGAAAGAAAATATTTTTTCTCTTTAACAAGCTAACTTTACTCAGAAATAAGTAGTAGACGAAATATATATACATATATTTTTTTATAAACTAAAACTTGTTGAATATTTTTTAAAAATATTTCATTTATTTATTAATGATATATACATACATAAAATATGAATGAACTCACTGTATCACTATTACTAATGTTCTTAACAGAGACATAATGTAATATCACTCAATAAAGAAATGTTTAGGGAAAAAATAAGATACATATATTTCTGTAGGGATGAATTAGCTATCTACGATTGTATGAAGCAAATGTGATATCAAAGAGAACAGAACGAAAAAAAAAACAATCAAGAAAGACTAGTTAAAAAAAAATATTCTTTTTAAAATCCATTAGGCCTAAGGTCACTAAATACACAAGTTATCACATTATGTATTTATTATTCTACGTTTCGGTTTCAGGAGCCATCTTCAAGATCCTGCAAACATGCACATACAAACTTGAGTCTTGTATAAATGCGTTATTGATAAATAGCACGTTCAATATCTTCTACTAAGGAGAAATAAAAAAACTACATTCGATGCAATAAAAGAATGACAAAAATAATGTTAGAATGATATATTTTAAGAAATTTTATGAAGCGGCACATTATTGCAGGATCTTGAAAATAGCTCCTTAAATTGAAACATAGAATAATAAATACACAATGTGACAGCGTGTATATTTGGTGACCTTTGGCATACTGTTTTTTTAGAACTTAAAAAAATGGCACCGAACCTAAAAGATATGACTATGAAAAAAATAAATAAAATAATATATTGTTTCATCTTATACTTGTGTTATTGTATTGAATGTAATGATGAAAATATGATGTAGCATGCTCATAACACAACTTTTACTTACCACTCTACTTAAATATTTTAGAAAGGTTAACTCCGGCTTTAAAAATTTTGAAAAAAACAAAACAAAAAAACAATAACCCATATTTTTATTATTTCTATTTGAATTCAAATTACCTTCCAGATATCGTAATATAAACTTACCAAAAATAGAAGTTTAAACCAAACTAACATAGTGTTATTCCTTTTTGATTGTAGAACGATCAATTTATGCAGAAAATTTAAGTATTTGACATAACCAGAAGGACGTACAATAAAAATTGTAAAACTGAAATATTATGCAAGTTTTGAAAAATCTAGAGACAGTCCTGAAACGTGAAATAATAAGTAAAGAAAATACAAATTCATTATATTGTGTTGTGTATAAATAATAAACAATATTTTCCTATTTTTTTTAATCTTACTTAACTTTTACTGAGGGAGAACTTTCAACACCGCTAAGACAACTGATGATGGCCTGACAGTCGAAACGTTATAAAAATATTTTAAGTTACCAGTATCCTCACTTGGAACCCCCATACCAGACTGAAACGACTAGAAACCGCCCGACGTTTTCGACTACTGCAGCACTTACTAGACAAACGATCTAAGCTTTCAATCAATTATAAACGACTCGTATATATGACAATAATAAGACCTATTTGGACTTACGGAATTGAGCTTTGGGGCTCCACTAAACCATCGAATTCCTCTCGTATCCAATCCTTACAATCCAAAATCCTTCGTAAAATCCTCAACGCTCCTTACTTTGTCACAAATAAAATCATCCATAAAGACCTTAATGTTCCATATGTTTCCGATCTGGCCCAATCCAGATACCTTTCCTTCCATAACAAACTGCAGAATCATCCGAATCCTCTCGTTTCAAACCTTGCTTCATCCTCGATCCCTGATAATCCTCCGAGGCGTCTGAAAAGAAGATGGCCTCGGGATCTTCTAATATAGAACTTTAATTTGAGTTCTACCAATGGGTAGTTTCTCTTCATGTTGTACATGCCATGTTAACCAGTATCAAGAATGCCTAAAATAAAAACTCATTTTCTTCAACTTAGATTTTCAATTGAATTTTTACAGATTTTAAACACAATGTAGAATTATTTGAGGCGATTTTAACAAAAAAAGGGTTATGTGTACGTGAACAGTCGAGCTCAAAAATAAAAAGTCGTACGAAACTTCACATACATCACGTATTTAAGGGATGATTAATATTACGCATTGTAGAGACGTTACAGCGACTTTTTACTGAAAATCGGCTAATTGGAAGTGTCAATTTATATCATCGATTTTGGACATTTTCACCGGAAAACAACTCACGGTTTTGATTTAACTGGGTATATCATTGTATAATACCAGACAGATAAGCCTTATTCTCATTGATGCACTTAAGAGGATTTAAATGCTTTATTTTTATATCTCGTCCTCTAAAGTACCTTAAATTTGGTTTATTTTAAATAAATAAATGTCGCGCATTGACTAATGAAGGAAAAATGTTTTTTTCAGGTACAAATGAATTTCCGGAAATAATAATCAGAATAAATGTTGATAATATATTGTCGGAAAGCTGAGGATTTCATAAAAAACAATTTTTAACACAAAGGTCGTTGAAAGAAATGGAGTGTGATTAAAAAGTTATAAAAAATGATAATCTACAAACTAATACTATTTATTGCAAACCAAACAGTCCCATGTGAATTAAATGAAATTTCCAAAATAGATGTAAAGTATATATATTTTGTTTCCCCACCGAATCAAAGTGAGTAAAAATAAAGTGATCTTTTAAATTTTTTTTTTATAGTATTACTTCTTAATGATATTTACAACTGTATTAAAGAACTACATTTAGTAAATTTGAGCATATGGATAAAATGATGTGAAAACACTTGCTGAGTAACTACCCAATGGTAACACTCTAATGATATGTCTACATTAGGATGTCACGGGACCATCTTCTTTTCAGACGCCTCGGAGGGTTATCAGGAATTGAAGAGGATGCAAGGTTAGAAACTAGAGGGTTGGGACGATTCCGAAGTTTATTATGGAAGGATAGATATCTGGATTGAGTCAGATATGAAACATAAGAAACATTAAGGTCATTATGAATGGTTTTATTTGTAACAAAGGAGGGAGCATTGATGATTTTACGAAGGATTTTGGATTGTTAGCATTGGATACGAGAGGAAGTCGTTGGTTTAGTAAAGCCCCATAGCTCAACTCCTTAGGTCCAAATA